CAGCTCTAACCACTCCGCTCTCTGGTCACCGTGAGGTCCCCCAACTGCTGCAGCTCCTCTCCCAACAGCGTGACATGAACCTCGACATTGCTGCCTGCTCCACCCGGCTGCCCACACACTCAAAACCCTCCAAACCACTTTGAGCAATGCTGCCTGATCTTCTGGGGCCACGCAGTGCCACGGTTTTTCAAGCCCTACTCGGGCAGTGCTGGCTTTGTGCAGGATTCCTGTCTGTCACCGCGTTTTTCTTCCCTCCTCTTTGTGCATCTGTTTAGGTCTGGGCGCGCTGGAACAAGGACCTTTGTCTCCGTTGTATAGCAGCCTGTAATGTGTACTGTAATGTCACAGCCCTGCAGCTGTCAAGGTGACAGAACGAGAACGGGAGTGCTGCTGAGGAATTTTTGGAGTGTTCATCGTAGTTCGGTTTGAAAGCAGTAGGTAGTTACGAATGCCTTCAAGTCTCTGACTGCCCGACATTACAGTAGACCTTTCGGGAGTAACACTTTTCATAATCTCCCAAATTAGTTATGGATGCCTTGATGGGTTTGCTGGGTGACTAATGGCTGTTTGTCATGGTCACGAGAGAGCCGGGGCGCTTTCATTGCATCCCGCTGCGGTGTGTTCTCCCAGCTGCCTCCGGCGCGGCCAGCCGCTGCAACCAGAGGTGGAGGCTCGGTGGCCAGAGCACACCAAACTTCACTGGAGTGCATGAAACTTGAGTTTGTTGTAAGGAAAATGGACGGTGTAGCTGAGAAGAAAGGAATATCCTCTCTAACGGAGACAAGGTACTCATCAGTTTGTATTTCAGACTTTGCAGTTGTGACCTGATTTCCTTCCTCAAACTTTGGCGAAGTAAGGGTGGGGGAATGGCTTTTTGGCTTGTGCAACTTGATGCCACTTCCCTATTTTAAATGGTCATCTTAATGAGCGTAACCAGGGGTTGGGGAAGCAGCTGTTCTCCACGATATTTTTACCATCATCCATGAGCTGTTTCCTGCTACCAAATGCCCTTTTCTGGCTGAGAAGCCATCGTAAGACGGTCAAATTAATTCAGAAAACTACCACGTTTAGGAACAGTTTTCCTGTGTTGCTTATCCGTCCCTTCTGGCTTTAATAACAATTTTTTCTTTCTCATTGTCAGTTTTTTGTGACCTGGGATACATGAAAGCATGAAACGAGTTAAGTTGGTTAAGGGCAGCGTACTACTTGTTGAAAGACCTGAATATTGAGTGTGCTTCTAGTCAACACAATCCAGCATATTAATAATAATCCTGAAATTCACCTTTTTGGCTAACTTCTTATAAAATACAAGTCCGAGTTTCAAAAGTTGTTACTTGGATGCATTGCTCAACCAGAGTCCTAATGGATTACGGGAAGGATTTAATTTCTTCAAGTCGTACCAAGTTAGTTTTAAGCTGTGTATCAGCACTTGAGATTTATTTTTAAATCCCTAACTAATTAAAAGATTACTTTTTTTTTTAAAGAAATAAATAATTCCCCAGACCTGGGAGCATTACAGTAGCATGCAGACGCAGCAAGGTTGCAGACCTCAGGGTGTTCGTATGGCAGAGGCGTCTCTTCTAAAAGGGGTTGTGTTTAGAATCATTGAATTTGGTAATTTTACATCCTGGTGTGTTTGTTTAATACCCTACCTTGGGCTTCCTGGACTTTCCATTTTGGCAAAATCCCCCCAGTATTGTTTTTAAAGCTCTTCTCTGCACAGCTAATCCCACACGATGCCAGGAATAGGGATCCCCTGCTCCGGAGAGGGAAATGCTGCTGGGAGGAGGATGCCCGCGGTGCAGCCTGCACGGACAGTGTTTGCAAAACTGGCTTAGAGAGGTGGTAAAGTAACATCATCTGAGTTAAAACCAGCACGTTTCTTCCCGTGCTGAGTGGTTGAGGGGAAGGTGTGCTGGGTCAGGCCCTGGGGTGGTGACAGGAGTTACTGTCCTTTGACGGCCTCTCCCATCCCCTTTTAAGGGTCGTGCTTTCTAATGAAAGTGTGTTTTTATTGAAAACGGAGCAGATGAAGTGCATTGAGAAGCGTTGCCGAGCAGAGCTCTTGCTCTCTGTTACATGTTCAGGAAAGCACCGTGGTTTCCTCTGCGCTGGGAAGGCGGTTTTGTCTTTCTGACCAGAATTCAGTCGCTTCTCTGAAAGCGGTTGGACTTCCAGCCGAACTGCAGCTCCCAGCAGCACGGCAGCCTGTTGGCCAGTCAGCCCTTCTGTCTGTTTACATCCTTATTTTTCTCACGTTGCTGGTTTGACACCATTTTCTTGCACACCTCGAGTGCAGCGGTGCTGTGCCCAGGTGTAGAAGTTGATGCCGCTGGGCCGCCCATCTCCCATGCCAGACCCCGGGGAGCTGCTGTGTTGGCAGGCAGTGTGACATCTCCTCCTGTTTGTACTCTGCTTGCTTGGTTTTGTACATTGTTGTGAAGAAATACGCTCGAGGTTGCTTGGAGTTAGTGCATCTCCCACACTGTTGCTGAATAACGTCTCGTTTTCCCCATCCTTACTCTGCTGCCTCGTCAGAAAGGGTTTTTGTATGTCACTATCCGCATCCAGTCAGGAAAGGGCTTTACAAATGGGATAGATATTGTCATATTTCTGTTCAGTGTGGTTTAACTTCCCCTCTGTGTGTCTGCAATTCCTTCGCAATCCAGGTGGCTCTGGCCCGAGAAACGTTTGTTCTCCTCGTCCCAAACAGCCTCCCCTGCGCATCGACCTCAAGCTCCTCGGCTTGGTGACAAGGCTGAGTTTTACTCTGGTTGGTGATGAGGCTGAGCTGAGTTTTACTCTGTCTTGGTGACAAGGCTGAGCTTTGCTCTAGCTGCTTCGCCTGCCGAGGGAAGGGAACCGCTCCCCGGTGGGAGCTGGAAGCGTGGCTGTGTCGATCTCTTCTGCTTTCGGGCGTCGGGACCTCCCTCTCGCATGCAGAGCCTCCGTCCTCTCCTTCTCCCTCTTTGCCCTGGGAGCCCTGCAGCGAGCTCTCGGAAGCGCAGGATAGCCGGTTTAAAACACGAGCTGTTGGAGGGGATGAAAAGCCAGCAGTGGGGTTGCCGGGTCCCTGCGGTCAGCCGGCTGTCCCAGGCTGCCGCTGCTCCTGCTCTTCAGGGTCCTCGTGATCAAAACTGAAACGTGGAGTTTGCCATTTAATTTGTTCAAATTGAATTTGATTTTTTTTTTTTCCCCTCCCTCCAGTAATAAATTACTGTAAAAACTCTAAACTAAACTGACAAGCACTTGTGAAGCCTGCAAATAATTACCATCGGCTCCTCTTAGGGGATTGCTCTGAGCCCTGCCTAGGAGCAGGAACAGGTAGTCACTGACGTCTCGCAGCATTACCCGCGTTTTTTCTTCTGATTCACGTCTGTATCCGTGTTTAGCCCATAATGCGACTTCGGAAATACGTCTGTGCGCATATGCTCGGCATGGTGCTTTTTTTAATTAGATAAATTAAAATGGATGGACTATGCCTGTCAGTTTGGATGCCTTAATTTTTTTAAATCCTATTTCACATTATGGCATCCAAGAGGGATTACGCAGACTTTAATTTTTGAATGTCTGGTTTATAGCTTTTCATCTACAACACTTCTAATAATTTCAGAAGAAGCACAGAGACAGTCCTTTTTTTCTGAAACCTAAATTTGGCTGTTTAGGAAATACTGTGGTTTTTTCTGTATCTTAGGCTGTTTGCATCTGTATCTTGGTTTGTTGCTTGTAGAAGTCTTCCGGTCAGTAGTCTCCAAAAGCCACTATCCAGCATCATTCCAACCCTTTGTACATAAGACAGCCTTGAATAGGAACAGCCTTCCGCACGAAGATGGGTAGGAGGCATATATTAAGAGATGTAACCTCCAAGGTTTGGGAATATCATCACCGAATGGTAGAAGTGAAATGCCAACCATTTCTTCTGCATGTTTAAGCACAAAAGAAGATGACCCCGTCCCAGACCTCTCCCTTCTGCCTCTCTTCTCCCATCGCTCATGAAAAGGCCATGGTGGCATTCCTTGGAAACAAAACCCCTCGGAGTGGGATCCAGGTTCTGTCCCTGGAGTGCAGGAGTCTCCTGCATACCCTGTGGTGTCTTCAGGTTTTAAATACTGCTTCCTGTGTCTGCAAGACTCAACTAAGAGAGATAAGGATGATCAGCTAATGACCTTTATTTCCTTTCACGCGGAGGAAGCTGGGGTGTTCGGTGTGTCGGCAGTTTGTGGGGTGGGGTGCTTTGGGATATTAAGGGGATCCCTCAGCAAACTGTGGACCCATTTGGCAACGTCGGTGCACTTGGAAGAACTGCGTTGGCGTGACGAGATTCGTCTCGGTTCAGATGAGAACATCTCATTATCTTGTTTTCTTGGGAAGTTTGTGTGTGTAGGGAGCTCGACTTCAGCAGCGTACTGGTGGCCTGGATCCCCTGGCTGTAGAGCAGCAGGTACAGATCGGGACGGGTGGCTGTGGCAGTCTGTCTTGGCAGTATCTCTTCCTGAAAACAGCGTTTTACTCTGCACACCCATGTCCTAAACGCTTTCCATGTAAGCGGAATACTTCTGTGCTGAAAACAAGCAGACTTGGTAAACTCAATGACCAGCAAAACTCTCCCATTAGAATTTTAGCTCAGTTGTCTTCGGCTGTCGCTGGCTGCTGTTGTGAAGCAGAGACTAAGCCAGAGCTGCACTGCGCAGGCAGAGCCCTCTTCCCGAAACACCGGGGACGGACCAAGGGATGGTGTCGCAGCAGATGCCGAGATACCCGGCAGCAAAGCATGCCTGCATCCGAGCGGGAGCAAAGCCCTCCTGGGCCGAACCTCTGAACCCTGGTCTGGCACCGTTCCAGCTGGTGGGTGCCGGAGAAGTCACTGGTTCATTTCCTCCATCTATACACGGGATGATTCAAATTTCATGGAATTTTGAATACTGAAAGAGTTAATGGAGGATGAGGAAGCATCTTCCTCCGCTCTGAGAGGTGTGCTCTCTGCTGGCCTTGTATTACAGCTCTCTTCCCTGTGTTCCCCCCTTCAGACAGGCAGAATTGACAAGTCCTACCCAACAGTGTGTGGCCACACGGGACCGGTGCTGGACATAGACTGGTGTCCTCATAATGACCAGGTCATCGCCAGCGGCTCTGAGGACTGCACCGTCATGGTAAGTGCGTTTCATTTGTCTTGCGGGGCGGCGTTTGCTTCGTGCTGCAAATGACACTTGTATTTCTGAAGAGTTCTGTTCCGACGGCGAGGGCAGCGTCCTTGCTGCTGTGAGAGTGGCCGTGGGTATTCTGTAGGTCATGTTTTGTCTTGGCTTAAGGAATGATGCCATCTTGGCTGCAGGACCTAGCTGAAAATCCAAGAAAAAAATAGCAGAACCACCTTTATTACCTGGCTGATGGCAGAATTTGGGCTCTCACAACTGGCACTTTCCCGTGTTATGTTGGAGAAGGTGCAGCCTCAGACTTCTGAGCAGCATCTCTTCAGCACCGAGGTGGCGCGTTAACTTAGCCTGTGTTTTCCTGGCGTTGTCTCCAGTTGCTCTTCCGTTTTTCCTTCCCCTGGGGATTTGTCTGATGTTTGGGAAGAGAAAAAGAGAAGAGAGAGTGCCAGTTAGCGGTGAGGTGTTTTGTAGTGCTTTGCCGAAGACTGAGATGGTTCCTTCCCTCAAATATCCTCATGGTGGAGTGGTGGGGATTGGAGGGGCACAAGCCCATCAGGCTTCAGAATTGTTTCAGCCCGTGATTTAAGGGTGACACTTCCATTGTTTTCCCTATATCGGCAGGTTATGAGTAGATGTCAGAAGTGGTGTTTTTTTTTTTGTAAGATAATAAAAAATAATCCAAATTCTGCACCTGCCAACCTTGGTCCTGAGACCTATTTTACCTCAGTCAGAGCCCACTGAACAATAGATGACCTTGCCCCGGGATGGATGTGGAATCCCGTGTATGCAAACACAGCAGAATAAGTGAAAGAAAATCCTTGTAAGATGAAATAATGCCAAATAACTTCAGTGATCTTTGGCCATATTTAGAAATGCTGTAGGCTGAATGTTATATTGAAATCTTATTATAGATCATGGCAGATAAATTCCTTTGCTTCTGTTCATCGTTAAAATGTTTGGGAGGGGATTCATCCCAAGAGGCTTATCCTGGGACAGCTTTTGCCTGTGATCTCTCAGCCTTGGAAGCTGAAGCACGCTAACAAAATGTACTGTGTTTAATATTAAACAAAACAACAAGCTTCTGTGTTTGTAACGTTCACTACTGGGCTAGAACTAAGCTTTAAGGATGTAGGAATGTCCCTCCAGAAACCAGGATCCAGTAGGGCTGTGTGTCGGAAGGAACCATCTCTGAAACATGAGCACCAACAGAAACAGGCGAAGCGAAGATCCGTAGCTGCCTTCTTGGAGGCAAAATAAGTCTCTAATCCAAGCACAATGAGAAGTATGTTGTGAGGCTCCAGAGGGATTGAATTATGTAGAAAAACCAACAACGTTCAATTACAAGTTGTTCGAATGCTCCTAATGCAGACACACACTGTCTGCGAGCATCTGAGCCTACAGCCGCGCAGACAAGCCCCGTGGGTTCGTGGTAGGTCCAACACCACCGCGGTGTAGCCAGCTGCTACACAAGCTTGCACGCTCGTGTTCGTGGCTGGTAGGGTGACGGTGTCTTGGGTGGAAGGCAGCAAGCAGCTGGGAGTGAGTCCTTGCTGCGCTTGAAGGAGGAAGCACACGCAACTCACAGTTTGGAAGATGTTGAGTACGTGTTAGCTGGAGATTTAAAATGCAGTGAAGCTGGGTGCCAGCAGAAGTGATGAAGAAAGCAAAGAGGACTAGCTAAAGACTTAAGTTGAATCTCCCGTTAAGCGTCACATAACTTCTGATGGGAAATGATGTATCCCAAATAATTTGGGACAGTTGCTAGCTCTGTCCAGCCCAGTTAACGTTTGCAATGCGAAGAACGACCCTGGCCTGGACTGTTCGGAAACAAACTGGATGAGCTAAAGCGTCTTCCCATTTTTAATTGCTTTTCTGTCTTGGCACTAGGTAATTCAGCATCCTGTTTTCTTTGCTTTTCTTCAATAAAGGTTTTGGAGTGCTGCTTCCTGAACAGCCTGTCACTGCATAAATTAATCTTACTTTAGATGGTATGTGTTTGTTCATCAGCTCTGAACTCTTCATTAGCCAACGTGAAAGGAGAAAAAGCGATGTGGTAGAGGAAATCATGTGGCTTTCTGCAGAAGTGAGCAGCCTGGTCTAGTGGAAGGTGTCCCTGCCCATGGCAGGGGGTTGGAATTGGATGGTCTTTAAGGTCCCTTCCAACCCAAACCAATCTGTGATTCTCTAAGTGCCAGCTGCTTTTAAAAAATACTGTTATGTTTTTAAAGACCATCTGTGTCATGGCATTCAAGGATTTGGGATCTTGCCCTCTGCCACAAAAGATCACATCAGCTAGATACTTGTTGAGGGAGAGAGCGTGTCTTTGAGATGCTCTCCAACCAACATCTCTGGGATGAAGAGGGCTGATTCCCTGCAGCCATAACGTTGAACTGCAGACACTGTGTTGCGCAAGGAAGGTTAACTTGGCCCTTCTGAAAGCTAGAAATATTTTCCTATAAATAAAAACCCTTATTTGTAGAAGGTAGAAAGACCCTACGAGCTGCATATAAACCTTCAACAGGTAATTGGGATCATTAGACAAGGCGTTGAAGTAAGGGACTGGGAAAGAAGACGTCTCTTTCTGCTACTGCTTAGCTTTGGAGGTTTAACTATTTCCAGCTGCATTGAGATTTGTCTGGTGAAAGGCATTTGATAGGTGTGATCTGGCCTTTTGAGGTGGTACACTCATTACTTTGGCTGTCACATCTCGTGTCTTCAGAAATTATTTGGAGGTAGAGAAGAAAAAGATGGGGTGGGGCAGTGCTTAGGACAGCTCAGTGTTGCAAGTCATGGTGCCAGTGGGTGTAAGGACATCGCTCTGTGATCCCAGCAGATGAAAAGGGAGAATGGACCTCTCGCGAGCACCACCTGCTTTCCTCTCTAGGG